AGCACAAGAACTAATGAGGAATTTTTAGATAATTGCTTTCGTCATGTTATAATAAGTGACAGACACGCACAGAGCGAGACTGAAAACAGGAGTTCAGCTTCACAGCCGAGAATAGTTCACTTTAGAAAAAAAAACATTTATTAAACAAACCAATTAAAGACAATTACAGAAACGAAATGACTTTAAAAAATTCATTAATTTAAAAAAAGCATTTGGATGACAGAGCAGGGTTAACAGTGTGGTGTGGGCGTATCTGAAGAATGATGCATTTGTTGCACATGATGATTATTAGACTAAAACATATGACAATATGCAAATTCTGATATGTTCATATACTCAAAGCGGACCTAATGCAGACAAGATAGCTTACTGTTTTTAGGTGCTATGCCATGTTTGTATTCGAGCGGTGATGTGCAAACTGTTGCTTGTAAACTTTTCATTCAACTCTTTTTTCTCTCATCTATTTTTTGTAAAATATGGTAGGAGGTAGAGGACTCAATGTAAATGAAACTCTTTAAATTTAATAAATATTTAGCAAACCAGTGTTGTATGAGAGTTAATACATTAAAGTTCAGTTGTCTTTTTTGTTCAACCCTAGTTAAGTTTTAATCTGTGCAGTCGCACTGATGGTGGAAATGTATTTCAGAAAAATACTTGTGTGTTATATAGATTATAATGTTAATCTACGTATTCATGAGCACTTTGTTAATGACTCACAAAATAACTGGAGAAGATTTTGATAGGGCTGTCAATGTTTTCAATAATTGGAAATTATTGATTATTTTTCTACCAATATTTCCAACAGACCTAATGTGGTGTTAAGGAGTAGCTTGGTTAGTAGCTATTTTTTAATTATTATCACATTGACCGGAATGACTTGATTATTGCTCTTAAGAAACAGAATCATAAGGTAATTATTGATACACTACTGATGATGTCCCAAAAATCATGCCCTTCCAATGACTGTAAAATAACTCCTAATTCACTATAAACATAAACCTCATGGCAAAACCATCAAAACCACAATAGACAGTTTACCATCATGTCCTGTGTTTTATGAATCTACAAATTTCACAAAACCCCTTAATCAGTTCTCACAATCATTCATAGTTTCCAGTAGTGAGGCATTCAAATTTAGACAAATCTGAAATTTACTAAGCCATAAAAAAGTTCAGTTTATTTAAATTAGTATGTTCCACTCAACCCTGGGATGGCATTGCTGTAATTTGTGTCTTTGTCTGCCAATTTGCCATTATCCTAAGATGATATTAAATGTACTAAAGAGGTTACCTGACATGGAAGGCAGTTTTCCAAACAGTGAGAAAGCAGATCATTAATGTTACTTGACTATATGACAAACATGTGTCTCTTGTAACTGTCACTTCTTTGTTTTGTTTTTACATTTTTCACAGTTCCACAAAAATACCTTCCTTATCAAAAAAAAATATTTATGTCAGTCAGTTAAGTTTAAATCACATGTTCGTGAGTTTGGTTGTAGATGACACGCCAAATTGTCAGTTAATGTCATCTATTTGAAGATGGCATTATTTTCTTTGGCGTTTAGTCCCCTTTGCTCAGAAAGAAAATCTTCACCTTTACCTTTGCAAGAATTAGGATTCATGAGGTCTGGGTCGGAGGGGTGAAGGGGGGGATTATATTTCTCTTGTTTCTGTCAACAGTGTGTGTGTGTGTGTGTGTGTGTGTGTGTGCGTGCGTGCGTGCGTGTTTTCATAGTGTTTGAGTGCATTACCCACAGAGCCGCTGTTAGTCAGATTGTTCAGTCAGTATTCTGACAGTCAACTCAGGGATGAAGGTCGACTCCTAGTGTTTTGTCTGGTTATTTCTACCACATTAATGGTGTTGTAGCTGTATCTGAAGCAGAGCACACAGTGTATTTCGTCATCATTTGAGTTGTTGTAATCAAATCGTGCTGAAACCAGACTGTGAGTGAGAACTCCAAGTCTTTTCAACATCTGTAATGACTGTTGAAGTGGTATTGTGTGTACAGCTTAAGATTCAGCTTTAACATGAACATTTAGTGCCAGATGTTCTGAGTTTTCTGAACTATAATTCTGTCAGGATGGTGTTGTCTGAACATCACCAATGCTTTTTTAAAATCTTTACTGTATATGTAGTTTCTATGTGATATGAAAGCATCACTTGACATAAAAACATTTATACACAAAGTGAGCCTCTATCCATCCATTCATCCACCCACCCATATAATTGAATAATTATGACCATAATTATAATATTTAACTCCATTGGTGGACCATGAACTTTAATGTCCACATTTCTGAGCCAGTTCTGTGCCTTTTTGCACATGAGCACATGGCTTTCACCTGCAGGTCAGTGAACATGAAGACAGGACACAGCTGTGAAGGTGGCAGTGTTGAGTCAGGTCCAAACTTATACTCTTTGGTAATGTAATGAAAATAGAGATTGGTGGAAGAACCCAAGCATGTCTGCTGGTGCAGAGCAGAGTAACACAGGGGACAGTTTTATCCTCCATGTGTTAAAACAGTAAAACGGTGATTCCACAGAGCAGGTGCAAAATCAGAGGAGCAGCTGCTCTTCTGTAAAAGTGACCAGAGGAAATATGACCTCTGCTACAGCTTTCTAGGACAGGAGAACTTACTAGAAAGAGTCAGTGATGAAAAAAGGAGGAAACCACAACACAATAGCATCATCACCAGGTTGATCTGTAAAATAAGGATTTGTTTTAAGAATTAATATTCATTAATGTTTTTTTATCCTTCGTAGTTAAAATGATAAGTGAAAAACTATAAAACAAACCATCTGTTCTTCAGTATCTGCTGTCTGTTTCCTTGTGGTTTGGAGATATATATATATATATATATAACAAAGTATTTATACAGTAAATATATTTAAAGAGTTCACTATAATTTATATAATATAATTAATATTTAGCTAAAATTATTATACATTTTAATATTATTTGACTACTGCACGAGTAGTTTAACGTTTCTCATGGCTTTTTTGCATTTTACTTAGTGCTTTAAAACATTATGTGCATAATTTGTGCAACTTCTCCTTTTTCTGTGCCAGTCAGGTGTTGTATTTATGTTCTTCATTTTAATGGTTTAAACGGTGTACTTATATTGACAACATGTCCAAAAACGGAGACGGAGTTAATGTGTTGACTTTTAATTGATGATAGGTGTGAATGTGAGTGTGAATGGTTGCTTGTCTTTACATGTGACACAAAGCCGTCCAGGGTGTAAGCCCATCTTTGCACCTTCCTCAACCTGAGACCCTTAAAAGGATTAAGCAGAAGATGAAGAATGGATGACTAATGTATTGTGCAGAATATCAGACTTTTTTTTTGTTTTTATTTTGCTTTTTTATTTTAATTATATTTTAAAAAGCCACTTAGTCATGTGAGTAATTACTAAAGATGTTTGACTCAGAGTTCAGCTGCTTTTATAGCCTGGTCTGACCATGTAGTTGAGGAGAGACCAGAGGAGATTATTCAGTGGACAACAAAACAACATGGTATCACTGTTTGCTTTTACTAATGAGCCAGTTTAAATCCCAATAAAATGATGCCACATTGGGATTATCATTTTTCAGGGTTTGAATAACCTTTCACCTGGTTAGTTCAGCTTTAGTCACCGTATTTATCACTGATTTTTATTTTATGTGCAAAAGTAAAAATGTAATTTATTTACGAACATTTAATTGTACAGCCTTTTTGACTATACGTTTTTATGACACAGCTGTGGCTAAGGAAGTACAGTACATGAAGACAGGAAGTGGTCAACAAGACTAGAGAAGTACTATGGAAGCAAAAACCAGTTAGTTTTAACTATTTGTTATTTATTTTTGAGCAGTTTATTTTTGCTGCAGTTATACTGTTTGCTCCAAAGCATTTACAGTATGTTTGAAGCTGACGTATAATTGTAACATGTAACTTATTGATGCCTAGGGAATTTTGTGCAACCTGTTGTGCTGCTCTCCGACCTGTTCAGGACTCCCCTCCCCCAGGTCTTCTTCACCTGTTTTCTTACATAACACGGTTCAGAGCTGGAGTATGCAAGGTCCGTTCATTTATCACTTGACTTTTCTCCACCCTGCTCTGGTGGACTGTGGGTCCTTTAGCTTACAGTTTAATCATACTCCAGCTGACATATATATATTCCTTGAGTCTGAATTGGTCTCTCGACTTGTCCAGATACAAGTAGATGTTGGAATCTGATTTCTTTAAGAGCCCCAAGGGGGCTTCGACAGGAAGGTGTTGACCTTCTTTTATTGTCACTTGTTTGTTGAGTTCTGCTTGAAGCAGCAGAGTGTTTTGCTATCACACACACACACACACACACACACAAAGCCAGTGCTGACTGAACTAAGGTGTTGAATTTAAGAAGCAAAACTGTCACTAACGAACATCCACCGACTCAGGACAACAGTTAAAGAAAACAAACAAATGGTATTAAATCAATACCTGTGCTACTCACTGACATTTTCAACAGAAATGGTGGAGTTTTCCCATATGTTGATAAATTATTAGAGCACAGACTTTTATCCATTCATTTTAAATAATTACAGAGAAGTTAATGTGTTAAAACATCAATCACACCCTTCTCAGTTTTTTTTTTTCAAACTGTGTTGTGAGATTGTACTAACCTGTGAATGTAGTAGAAAAAATGAAAATGTATAGAAAATAGAGATGAAAGATGAACCTTTAAACTATTTTTTTGTGTAAAATGTTGGATAAAATTGCAATTCATTCATTAATTACAAGGCTTACATTCTACAGAATTTTCTGATCATGTCTAACCATCAAATTTATACATCTTGCCACCATTGTTCCCTAAAACATGATTCTAAGACCAGGAATATTAAAATCAGTGGTTCACGTTTGCGTATTGTTGCATATTTATGTTTTATTCAAGCTCTGCTGATGTGCTTCGTCTGATTGGTATGTGTTCTCTTTTGAAAACTACAAAAGTCACACGTGTGTCCTTTCTTTTCAACAGATGCAGTGAAGGGATAGAAGATGAAAATACACAGAAAGGACAAGCAGCGGGTTTGTACTCTCTCTCTCACACATACACACGCACAAACACAAACAAACATGGTTATAAAAGTTTGTTTTTTTTCTAAACACGTTAAATTCATTACAGTGAAAGTAAGTGTTTTCACCTGAAGGTTATTGTGTGTCTTTTGGTAAACTGTGGCTCCTGCTTCATATAAAACAGTTGTTTTAGAGTCTGCTGCAAACAGACATTTAGTGATTTTACCTTTAAAAAAAACACCAGTATAGATCCAGGCTATATTGTTTAACTGCAGTGGTTAAGTAGCTTTTTTTTTTCCCATAATTTCTCCCGATGTGCTTGTTTGATGAGGTCACCTTCTGGGAGAATTATCATAGTGTCTTTGAGCAAGATGGCAAACTCCTGTGTGTGTCTGTCTATTTGTGATAAATAAAAAGTATAGTAAAAAGTAATGCTTTTAGGCTTTGTGCCAGCAGTTTTTTTATATATGTAAAATATATATCATATATATTTACACATTGTATGTTTTTTTTTTGTTTTACACATGATCGCAGTTTGATGCTTAGTTGTAAAAGAAAACGGGGCAACAAATAGCAGACACATGTTAACCTGTTCATCATAGTGCAAGCAGCGATGTTAGCTTAGCATCAGCAATAGCACTGTTTTTAAATCCTCTTCTCTGGCTGTTGTAGCTGTGAAAGAAAGCAGCATTGATGAGACTGCAGTGCTTATGTTCTATATTCGTGACCGAGAGACAGATGCTGTGTGCGTGTGTCTGTGTGTGTGTGTGTGTGTAATACTTGTTTGTGAGGCAGCATTATTGATTCATAGGCAGTGTGATTGTAGGCAGCCTCCCTCAGTTGTGTTTGGTGGGTTTTACTGGGCTGGCAGAGCCTGCTACACTGCAGCACGTCACTACAGACTGTGTGTGTGTTTCTGTCTCTGTGTGTGTATTTATGTGTGAGTGTGTTTAAATGGGTGTGTTTGTATGCTTGTTCTTTTTTTATTTACAGGTGTAGCCATCCATGACAACACACTGAGGCATGAAGGAGTGTGTGTGTGTGTGTGTGTGTGTGTGTGTGTGTGTGTGTGTGTATATCTATCTAGGTGTGTAGGTGTGTGTCATACACATCTGCTACACGTCATACATGTATATTTAGTCATTCAGCTCTGCAGTGGTGCTGTGCAAAGTACGAGGGTGTGTGTCAGTGTGAGGTGAGCGTGTTCCTTTTATTGGATTAACAACATTTACATCAGTGTTTACACAGAGACTGACTCTCATGTGACGGTGTCTGTGATTTGAAATGGATTCAAACAACATTTTGGGTCTTTTAATAATTATGTTTTTCACCATTTTTTTTATTTGATCAAACAATTGCTCCTCATATTTGCGCAGACCAGATGCAACTGTTTTATCTTGTTGCCAGGGCCTGTCATTGTCATTACTTAATGCTGAATTAGCTACAATGGAACATCGCCAAAAAAATAGCAACCTAGACCTTATAGAAGTAAGTCTGAAATATACCAGCTTTTCTGGAAATTGGGTTCGTAGTTTACTGCATAAGAGGACGTGAGTAACGAGGGAAGAGTGGTTAGTGCTTCTGCCGAATCGCAAAGTTCAGGATTCAAGGATTCAATTTGTCACATGGTCAATTAAACACGTAACAGTAACTTCAGTGAAACATAACCCTGAGTTGCTTTAAAGACTGTTTATATTAAAGAATAAAAAGCATAAGAAAATGTCTGTCAGATGTGTAACAAAAACTGAAAACCTGTCACTGGTGCATTTAAACATTTGTGTGCCAAAGAAAATGTATGTTGCTTGAATTTGATTATTTTTGTAAAAAAAAGAATGTTTTTTAAATATTAGTAGTAGTGAACACTTAAATATTGTACCTTCGTATCCTGTCCACTTTTCCCCATTGAAACAAATGGCATAAGTGTTGTGCCTGGCCGAGCTTATCCTTTGTCGTATTAAGTTAACAGTAATGACCACAGGCTACTTTCAGTCATGTTAGGGAGACATTTTTATTCAGCTAGCTTTTTGTGTCAGATGAAGTTTGTGGTATCATGCAAATGTGGCCTACTTGACGTCTGATGTTTGTGTCGTGTTGTTCATCCCGGTGTGAGTGGCCTACTTAACATTAGCGCCCTTCATTGCTCACTGCACAAGGTTTTTAAATGGTATCCTGACAGTAAACTTAAACCAAACACTACATGTTACTCCTAAATCAGATCTCTTAGTGAAACCCCCATAACCACAGTGATGTGTCACAGTAACTGCAGCTGCTTATCTTTTAAGGATTAGTCCAAACTTAAAACAAACTGCTCAGTTTTTGCATCTTGATCATGGATACAAGGTTTCCTTCATCCACTCTTCGTCCCAGGCCTGAGTCGATACTTGTAATTAAAATGAAGGTCAGAATGTTAATCCACTGCTGTGATGGAGGCCTGTGTAAATACTAAGTACTGCTAATGTGCTAGTTTATAGGGAAGACTAGACCTAGTAAGTCCCGATCAAGAGCCGGAAAATGTTTTAACTGAGAGCTGAACTTCTCCAGTTTGACCTCCAGTGTTCTTCCTAAATGTATGAATGTTGGCCATTTTTCACATGTTCCTTTAAAAAAGCAGGTGGGAAAACAGTGAATGCACTCACCCTTGACCTGCTGCTGTATGTCTGGACAGTCTGAACCATATAAACTGGAACCATTCCTAAGCATTTGTTAAGTTTGAAAATGAGAACCATTGAAGTGCCTGTGTTTCTGTTCTTTTGTCAGACAAACAATCAGCACTCCCACGGTTTTTCTTTAAACATTAGTCATTATCTAAAGTTTGAAGTCTTGGAGGCTCTTCGTCAAGCTGTTATTCAGCAAAACAAACACATTGTTTGTGTATCTTAAATTAAAAATAAATGAAATCCCATCTCTTTACCAAATATTCAGGATTCCATCATCTGCAATAGTGCGATTACAATGTTGAATACTGGAAAATTTTGGCAATTACATTTTTAGATAATGTCAGGGTCACCTGACCAAAAAAAGAAATATTTGGTTTGACATCAGGTATGATGAAATAATCCAGTCTGTCATACTTTGAAATAACCTGGCAGTGAAATAGTCACCATGGTGATGGTGTGTTTACGTCTGCTTTCCTGCAGCTTAGTGCGGAGAGCCAGTTTCCATGGCAACGGCCATGATACCCCCTTCCATTCCCAAACCAACAGGCCATTGAGTTAGCTGCCTGTGCCCATCTTTATGTGCGTGTGCATTTATATCAGCAAGTGATTCACCAAGACAGTTCCTCGTACCTGTTTGAGAGGCAGAGTGTGTCAGAGCATCTGCATCTGCCTCACGACACCCACTGGGTTTTACTGCCATTTACGGCTCTGGCTCCGCACTTACAAAAATGCATATGGCTGTGCTACACTTCTTACACATCTTGGGGATACGTCACCATTTCACACACACACACACACACACACACACACACACACACACACATTCACTGGCATAGACGCACATTTCCCTTTTGTTTCATTGAGAGACAAAAATACACCAGTCACTTGAGGTTTCCTGCAGACAAACATGCCCAGACGTCACACCGTCCTCTCCACGATGGCCTGACCTGATGCATGCATCCCTCATCAGAGTGTGTGGGTTCTAAAAAGAGGTAAAGTGTATCAGCTGCTTGTCCCCATCCTGATGGCTGTCATAGGAACCATGCAGTCATTTGTCCTGACAACCGCCATCAGACTCATGTACACGTAGGCGTGTCGAGGAGAACCGATGGGTTCGGCAAAACCGTGTCCATGTGGAGACGGGTGGGCTCCATATTCAGAGCTCAACACTAAAGAGAGAACTTTAACCTATTTTCAGAATCCCTGTCCTTTCTACAAGGCATTAGAATGGAAGTCACCATGGATCAGGGATGGGCAAACCAAGGCCCGGGTGCCAGATGCGGCCCCTTCAGCTTCGTAATTCGGCCCGCCAAACATTTCCAAATTATAAAGTTTATTTATATTATAAAAAGCAGAGGTCACATTTCCTTGTGTGCAGTGGTTCACTAAGATAGACTAAGGTAGAAGATTATACTTCTGCCTTTTCCTTGCAATACCCATGTTTCCCCAATAGATGGCGTAGAAAATGATAAAAGCATTTTAGCCCTTATACCTGACTTTTACGTGTCATTTATCTTAGTTCACGCGAACGCTCCATCTATCTGTTCCTGACCCGGCCCCCCTGTTCAATTTTAGGACAATTGTGGCCGACGAGTCAAAAAGTTTGCCCATAGATCGCCTGCCATAGATCCTGTCTCAGCCTGTCACTGAAATCATGGTAGTTTGTTGTATCATTGTTAGCATGCTTATTGTATCATTATATCATTGTTAACATGCTCACTCTGCTCACTTCTCACTTCTATCAAGCAGGCATCATATGCTTGTTGGTTGATTCCCTTTGGGCCAAACTGTTTTAGACATCGAAGACCACAATATTGTCCGTTAGTGAATTTATTTACAATTTAATTATTATAAACTGCAGCACATTTTGTCATGTGAATTCATCTGTGATAATTGATAGAAATAAGCCAATCATCTGCTATCTGTCTGCCTGTTGGATACATTTTAAACATAATTATTATTATTATAAGGCCTAATTCTGTGCTGTTATTTATACATACACTAGATGCATATTTGAATTTGCATTTCTAGCTCTTTACCAAAGGCCCTACAGCAAAACATTGCAACCTTATAAGATTTGTCAACGATACTACACCAATATCCAATAAACAGCTGAGTTCTCAACTTTTTCATTAGCTTGTAGCCATTGACTGTTCTATAGTATTTTAGCCTAAGCAGCCCATCTCCACTTTTATTGTAGTCTTGCTCAGTTTTTCAACTCTGACTCAATCAATAGTGCTCAAACAGAGCTAAAATAATTACCAGCAAAGTCGTGATTAAAAAGAAATACGATGCTCAAAGGGGGAACATTTCACTAAAGAAGTTTTTTCTTCGTAAAAAACAGCATAAAACTTTAAGCTGCCAACAGTCAGCCTTTGAAGACTGATTTTATCTAAATATCTATATATTATAAACACATCACACAATATTCTGATAATGTGTACAGATGTGTTTTTGAAACCATGGTTACATTTTTCAAGTTCATGGTCAGATTTAATAAGGATTCACCTTGTCCTTGGTTAGTATTAATTAAATTCAGTAGCCTCGGGAAAACTATCACAGTGACGTTGGAATTCTAAAAACACCACTGCTTGCTGTTGACTTAACGCCTCCATTGAAGGAATATTTCTCCTTTAATGAGAATGGGCCAAACAATGTCGGAAATATTTTTTATACTAACACTACATTGAATGCAGCACTGAACATCATGTTTTTTTCTGTGAACCTGTTCTTGCTATTGCATGATTTTTGTATTATAAACCTTATTAATTCAACAGCTGTTTGCATTGACCTGGGATCTTGTATTTCTTGGTTTTGGAGCTTAGGTATTTTGATGTATTTTAATAAAGTAATTAAATTTTAAATTTTTCTCTGGTGATTAGTTTCATTCTAAGTTAGGTCTCATTTATTGAAAATGTAATTGGTCTGTAGTACTATGGTTGTGTGTAGTATTATTGTTATAGTAAAGCATCAGTGTTTAGATTGGATCAGGTTTTCACTTTGTCAACATATTTTATTTTATATTATATATTCTATATATTTATTCTATATATCAAATCCTAAATGGATTTGATATATAGAATAAAAATGGCTTCATATTAAACGATTATACATTAGTTAAAGGCTGCTGTTTTGGTCTGTAGAAACAACTTTAGTCTCTTGAAAATAATTCAAATGAAATTACGAAATAAAAAGAGGTTCTCAGAACATGGGGCGGACCTCTGGTACAGGGCATGGAGCACTGGTGGCGTTGTCAGTTTCAGTATTTCAGTTGTTTGTGCTACAGTAGGTACATTTCAGTTATCTGTATTTTATTTAACTTTGTTCAATAAGAATAACAGTTTATATATATATATATATACACTATATATACATGTACTTCACTGTTTGTCTCATTTTAATTTTCAGATGTTCACTGGTCTCCTAAAGCACACGCCACCTCTGGCCACAACTGCAGCAGCGTCCTCCTCTTCATCTTCCTCTTCCTCATCCTCAGCCTTGGACCAAAACAGTAACGCACAAACTACAAACCCTACAATCCCTCGGGGACACCTGGTCTTTGGTCCCAAGGACCAGCTCCGCCTACTCACCCCAGTGGGCAGCACGACGACATCCAATCATTGCACGGCCACTGTGGCGCACACTACTAAGCACTCTGCAGGGGCCCCACGACCTCCCTCCTCCTTAAGTGAAGAGGATGATGGTGGAGGTGGAGGTAGAGTGAAGAAGAAACGGAAGAAAAAGGACAAGCAAGAATGGGAAAGAGAGGTGGGGGAAGAGAGAGAGAGAAGCAAACCATAGAGAAAAAGCAAAGAGAAGAAGAGATGAGAGGGAGGTGACGGTGGTCACACTGAGGAAGAGCAAGGAGCCCAAGCAGGGCAAGGAGAAGAAGGATCGCAGGAGTAAAGGGAAGGAGTGCAAGAAAGAGAGAGGGGCGGGTCTGAAGAATGTGGTGATCGAAAAGTTGTGTGTGGCCACAGGGCCAGCTCAGACGTCTGATGGAGTGGCTCAAGTGCCGATTAAGGTGCCTGGTAAAAGAGGGAGGAAGCCGAAGGTCAAGATCCTACCTCCACTACCAGCAAACCAAGGTACGTACGTGGGAACATGTGGATGTTATTTAGGGATTCAGGTCGTGGTGCCTCAGGGGTCAGTCAATGTGCCTGTGTGTTGTTTGATGAGAAGTAACACCTGGTTATACACACAGCCGTGGCCCTTGGTTACAGCACTGGGACAGAAGTACAGTAACAATCTACCTTTTACTGCTGCCCTAAATTATAAACCTCCTTAGCTCTGCTTATCTTAGGAAGTCCTTTATAATTCCCACAATGGGGAAATCTAAAATTATGTATTAAACGAGATGATTAACAGGAAGTAAACATGTATCTGTCTTGTCATACCTCATGTTTTGTTCATATGTGGTTAAAATAGTTTTCTTTGTTTTGTCAATCCCCTGCATAGCAGCAACTCCTGCTCCTCCTCCACCAACACTTCATGTCAAAGTCCCAGTACAGATGCAGAAAACCCAGGCCAAGAACCATGGCCAGGGTCACAGTAAGACCCTAGCACCCTCAGCACCCAAACAGAGGGGCCGTAAACCCAGGTAAGTTACTGAAGGAAGAGAGATGAGCTTTACTACCTGGATTTATCTTTCTGACTCACAAAAGTTAAAAGAAAATAATCCAATCAGCATTGATATCAAAATAAAAAATAAAGTACTTATTGTATGTGTGATCTCAGTAAGCCCTTTTTTTCATCATTCACATCATCCCAGATTTGTAACCCCTGGGTGAAAGTGAGTACGTATACACAGTGTGCTGTTTATTTTTTAAAAATAATTTGTGAACTGAAACAAGTTGAATTAAAAACTTCCGCTGGAGAGGTTGAATTTAGAAAACTTTTGAAAATTAAGAATATCTTTATAGATGAGGCTAAACTAGTCTAAGGAACGCTTTATTTTACACCTTTTTTCTCATCATTCTGGAGACTCAAACTAGCAACACTATTGCTCTACCAGCAGGTCTTCACTCCTTATTGGTTTGTCCGAGGATCCAATAATTTTGCTCTGTTAGAGAAGTGAATTACCAGCCTCAACTGTCCTTAATGTCAGTGTCTCTGGTGACGATGCAGCCACGGGTCAATCAGTCGTACATTCATTTCCTGTCCTGTGTAGAGATCCTGGTGCTGCGCCAGTGGAGAAGAAGAAGAAGGGTAAGCGGAGAAACCAGGAAGCAGCTGTACAGGAAGGAGCAGAGAGTGACGACACTACCTCACTGTCCACCCTGAACATGGGTGGGGAGGACAGCCAGGACCAGCTGGATAATGCGGTGAGAGATCTTTTTTTTTTTTTTTAATAATCCCGTGATGATCATCACCTTTGACCCCTGACTGAAAACAAGCAGCAGTGTTGATTTTTCTTATTTATCTTTTTAGAAGAGGCGTTCAGGGCGGCAGGTCAAAAGGAGGAAGTACAACGAAGACCTGGACTTTAAGGTGGTGGACGATGATGGGGAAACCATCGCTGTCCTCGGAGCTGGACGCATCGCTGCACTCAATGCCACAGCTCTGGCATGGCAGGCTGAGGTGAGGAGACACAACCAGTCTCAGAAGACTTTTCAGTGACCTCTGGAAGGTCCAAGGTGTTAGACAAAAAAAACAAACCAACCTTTCACTTATAATTTACATCTTTAACTGCAATGGATTTCCATCATCAGTGAAGTAGAGATCCTCAAAAGCATAGTTATTTGAGGACAGTTAAATTAGTAACTAATTTCAGTGATAGAGATTTATTATTATCTCCACTGAGAACTGACCTGCAGATCCTAACACTTCTAATTGGTATTCAGTTTTTATGTGTAACAACTTGTTATTGTTCTGTGTTTTATGACTAAATCATGAAAATTAATCAGTTTTATGGTTATTGTTTCTGAGAGTATAAATCTATGACCTTTTTAGTAATGGCCCAGAATACGCAGGTGAAGAACACAGGACGGTTGAAAAGCTCAGTTTCTGTACTTGGTGTTAAACTAGGCTTCAGAGGACTGTGGTGTCTTCATGTTTCTGTCTTTGTCTCCCAGGAACCACCTGAGGACGAGGCCAACATCATTGAGAAAATTCTAGCTGTCAGAACACCCAAAAAAGAGGTGAATACACACAGAAACACAAACTTGGTTAAATGTCTCTGACATCTACTGTTAGGTCAGTGTTTTTCTCCCTGATTTATTGTTTGATTTTCCATCTGTAGACGACACTGTCAGAAGATCAGGCCGAGGAAACGGAAGAGTTCTACGTCAAGTACAGGAATTTGTGAGTTTTCCAACATCATTACTTCGTCACATGTATTTGAACTTAATGCTTTAGGCCACACAGTGAATGAGTGGTCATTGCAGTTGCCTTAGAGCAAGAAGATCAACGGTTCAATAGTCATTGTTCTATGGATACCAAATATAAAGATGGGCTTCGTTTATGGAATTTGCCTGTTTGATTGACCGTAGGTGTAAATTTGAGCGTGCATAGTAGCAGGACCAAAGTATTGCACAGTGACTAAAAATATTGTAAAGAGTAAATTTGACTAATGTGATAAAATAACCAATATAGAGCCAGATATATAGTTTATTGCTAATACTGACCAGTGAGTATAATATGGGAAACTGGAATGATCTGTGGATGATGTTGCCCTCTGTGGTCCGCCTCAGTGAAATGAAAACAAGTCTCTTTTCGTATCTGTCTGATCACTGAATCATGTGACATGACGACAGATGCTTCAATGATCACAGGCATGTTTTTCATAAAGGTCACTCGCTGGTGTCCAGCTGTGTCCAGATTTGCAGCCTGACCAGTGTTAATAAAATCACTCTCTAAAGTAAAAGAAGATCTACTGGGTGGATGGTAGTTTTCATGCCATTGATTTTCCTCCAGATGAGAAGGTTTTCTCACACGTGGACAGGTTTCCAGCTGTGGTTTTTGTTCCTCAGAGGTAGATAAAGTGTTTCTCTGCGCTACGTTGATGTTGAGGAGAAAAGTGGACAGAGAGAGAGAGATAGATTCTCTTCTTCTTATTGAGACTCTTCACTGAGCCGCTCAGGTTCAGGTGTTCTCTGGAGAGCGCCCTGCTGTGTGGATGTTTTACTGTGATCCTTCACAGACCTGGACTTTGTGCTGTGGCTGTAATTACCTCGCGGGCTTTGTCTGCAGATATTGCACAGAGATTGTTGTTCATTTCTGGGACTTTAGGATAATACATTTGCATGACTTCAGCCAGGACAGTATAGTTACAAACTGGGGAGTTGCTGAAGATTAACAGTCTGCATTGTAAAACACAACAGTGAATTTCACTGGCCTGCACATTTGAAACAGGCTGGAGGGCATATACTGCTGCGCTCCAGCAAGGGCTGGGATTTCAACCAGCAGTCGTCTTGTATCTATAAAGCCACAGACTGCACTAGTTTGTGCTTTGAAACTCAAAAAAAAAGAAAAGAGAATTAGTGGTCGGGCTGCAGCTTCTTCACTGTAGTTTCATTAATGTACATTTGGCCATTTATAGATTGTGCTCTATGTATATTCAACTGTGCATGTCAAACAGTTGTTATGGAAACACTTCAAAATGGTCTAATGATGAGACAGGTCCCTCTCAAGTGGTAAATTAGAACTCAGTGATGGTACGGTTGAAGCAGATGAAGTGATGTAAATGGAATAGTACAAAAACGACTTCATCAAATTAAGGCCCTTCAAAAACTCAAAAAGGATATTAACACTAACTATTTATTCTTTCTGTGTTCAGCACTCAAATCAATTAATTTTCTATTTTAGTTCTTACCTTCACTGTAAATGGGCGACGCTGGAGGAGCTGGAGAAAGATCCCAGAATCCACCAGAAGATTAAGCGTTTCAGGACCAAACAGGCTCAGATGAAACATCTGTTCACAGAGGTAAACCATCATCATCATCATCATCTATACTGCTAGTTGGGAAAAGGATGGATGTCTATGTTTCCATGTTTCTTTTATTGGATTTGTATCTGCACAATTGTAGGGTTTTTTTTTTGTTTTTTTTTTGGTTTTGGGTTGTATTGGTAATATCAAAAAGTGTCCGATCGCAGCAGTGATTTCAGACAAGTCAGTGGTGTCGATCAAACCCTAGTTATACCAGTGATTAAATCACATTTATAATTTTACAAACATAGATTAACTGTGGTGTGAAGGTTGAACCTTAATCTCACTGTTTCTGTTTTTTGCTCTGTCTCCTTTTCATCCTCCTGATGTCCAGCCTGATGAAGATTTATTTAATCCAGATTATGTAGAGGTGGACAGAGTGCTGGAGGTTGCTGTCACCACAGATACTGAGACTGGAGAGGTGGGTCAAGAACACAGAGGCGGACACTGCCTCAGCAGCCACAATGCCGATGGGACAAAACTTAATGAGGTTTTTTCTTTCCTCTTTTTCTAGGAGGTGACACATTACCTGGTTAAATGGTGCAGCCTCTCCTACGAGGAGGCAACCTGGGAGCTACAGGAGGACCTGGATCCGGAGAAGATCAAGGAGTTTGAGGAGATCCAAAAACTGCCACCTGACCTCAGACATGTTGTGAGTAAAATGAATCAGGAGAGAATTGAAACTTTTCTTCAGTTTAGTGGTTGGATTTGGACAAAATGGAATCAAACGCACAACTTTCTGCAGGACAGACATGGAAGTTACCACTGTAACACTTTATCTGCTAGTTTTTTTTATCTATTTTTATAAATTATAGTGTACATTATTATTATAATGTTATTAAATCTGGCTTAAGCTTGGTTTTTTTTTTTTTTTTTTTGTGTGCATTTGCTCCAAAACAGATTTATTTCACAAAGGCGTTCTTCTAGTGGATTACAAGTAGACGACATATTTTCTTTAATGTGTGTTTTTACTTGTGTTTCTGTCACAGGAGCGCCCTGCTCCAGACAAATGGCAGAAGTTGGAGCAGTCCAGAGATTACAGGAATGGAAACCAGCTCAGAGAATACCAGTTAGAGGGAATGAACTGGTTACTGTTCAACTGGTACAACAGGTGAACAAACACACCTGGTCAAACCATTGAACTGCCCAGTATTCTAGGACTAAAAATATGTATTTAATATTATAAAATACATCTATTTTAGTTTAAAGTCATCCACAACCCATCCTGACCTTTTTATCTTATCTTCTTGACGCATCTCGTTTTTTTCTGCAGAAAAAACTGTATCCTGGCTGATGAGATGGGTTTAGGGAAAACCATCCAGTCCATCACCTTCCTGTATGAGATTTTCAGCATGGGAATCCGTGGCCCATTCCTAATCATCGCCCCACTGTCCACCATTACCAACTGGGAGAGAGAGTTTCGCACCTGGACGCACATGAACGTCATTGTGTACCACGGTTCCCAGATCAGTCGACAGATGATCCTGCAGTACGAGATGTTCTATAGAGACTCACAGGTGGGGAAGGGCTTTCAACCCGCAAACTGTAATTCATTCTCTAACCTGTTGCTTTTGTTAATCCTGTTCTAAAAGGTGTCCTTTGAAAATATGTTTTTCTCCGATGCTATTTACTGAATATTTTGGACATTGAACCTTTATTTTATCCTGCTCTCTCAGGGTAACACCATCCCCAGTGTGCTGAAGTTCCATGGGTTGATCACCACCTTTGAGATGATCATGGCCGACTGTCCGGAGCTGAAGAAGCTGCAGTGGCGATGCGTGGTCATCGATGAGGCGCACAGACTGAAGAACAGGAACTGCAAACTCCTGGAGGGACTCAAACTCATGAATCTGGTCAGTTGGTGAATGGAACTGGAGTCACATCTGCTCTGTACTCTGTCATGACTCACTGCTGGCTGTGTGTGTGTTTATACATTCAATAATTTTATAATAATTAGAGTAAAATATTAATAATAAAATAATAATTTTCTGTCTTAACAAATACAGTTAATTATTGTTTGTACCTTCATTTTTTTTTTTTAAACTGACTTCCTTTCAATCTTTGCCTTATTCCTAAGACAGCAAAATAGTAACATTTTTGAATGTCAAATTTTGGTAAATGTTTCATTTTTATTCTGCAGGAACACAAGGTACTGCTGACAGGAACTCCACTGCAGAACTCAGTTGAAGAGCTGTTTAGTCTGTTGAACTTCCTGGAGCCGCTGCAGTTTCCTTCAGAGAGCAGCTTCCTGGAGGAGTTTGGAGACCTCAAGACCGATGAGCAGGTGTTTACATGTAGCCATGGACAGGACAGACATACCTTGAATTGAATACCTTGGGTTATTTTGTTCAGTCTGTGGTGAAGGTTTTGTAATGCATATTAGACAAACCATATCTAACAAATTCTGACAAAAAATCTTTTAGAAGCTGTCAGGTGAATATTTGTATTATTCTATTTGTAGTTATGGTAAGATCTGCAAATGGTACTACAATTAAAATCATTGTTTTTTTCCAGAACAGTTTGCTCTGAGAAATCCCTGCTATGGCCCGACACTATGGTCTTTATCTGCAGTAGTTATTGTTTCCTGTTGCTGCAGCTGTGTTTATACAAATTGATTTTCATGTGTATTTGTAATATTTACATTTATCATTGTCATCACTTTTAAATGATTCCTTCCTCTTCGCTGTGGCAGGTTAAGAAGCTCCAGGCCATTCTAAAGCCCATGATGTTGAGAAGACTAAAGGATGACGTAGAAAAAAACCTGGCTCCTAAAGAAGAAACGATTATAGAGGTGAAAAAGTACACAGTAGTACTCTGAAAACTATGTTCTTTGCAGTCTTTTCCCTCTTGAAGGTGAATGTGGTTAAAATGACAGAATCGCTGGACATTCTGACAAGAATATTCATAATTTGACAACATCCCAGTAAACCACCTTGACAAGTTTTTGTCTTGTTTGTGTGACTGCTCAGGTGGAGCTGACCAACATCCAGAAAAAATACTACAGAGCCATTTTGGAGAAGAACTTCTCCTTCCTGTCCAAAGGAGCAAACCAACACAACATGCCCAACCTCATCAACACTATGATGGAGCTTCGCAAGTGCTGCAACCATCCTTATCTCATCACAGGTGAGGACCTGGGCAGACACGTGTGGAGTCACATATGGAACCGTAAAACACGTTTTTTCACCTCTGCATGTTTCTGTTCCTTCTTTGTAGGAGCTGAGGAGAAGATTCTGGAAAGCTTTAAAAAGAGCCACAGTCCAGATTCTCTGGACTTCCAGCTGCAGGCCATGATCCAGGCTGCAGGGAAACTGGTGCTGATTGACAAGCTGCTGCCCAAACTGCTGGCAGGGGGACACAAAGTCCTGGTCTTCTCCCAGATGGTCCGCTGTCTGGACATCCTGGAGGACTACCTCATCCAAAGACGGTGAAGAGCAGCGACAGGAATTTACTGATTCCCTTGTTGATATTACTCATTGATTGAATTCCTTATCTATTCTCGTAGCTTATTGTTCTTGGAAACAAGTAAAGTAAACAATAAAATATAGTACAAATGTTTTAATGCCTAAATGTAAAATATGCATCACATTTTCTTTACTGCATGACAACGTGACATTCCCTCTGCAGAGATGAACGTGTTAATGTTAAAAACACCTGTCATTATCAGCTTTTGAAAATTAGCATTTCTTATGGGTTTGTGGAAGGAACAGCCTCTGAGTAACACTGGAGAAATGAGTCTGTGTCAGAAAGTTCAAACAGCATCTTTGTTGTTGAATTTAAATTCAGGTTCCTCATAATCCTGTGGACACTCATCTTGTACTAGTAATCGGAAAAGTGAAGGAAGGACTTGAAGCTCCCCAAACACATCATTGTCATTTAAATGTAATTCTAAATGTAAATGTTGTAAAAGCAGAGCTAAAAGCTATTTTTTTTTCCTTTTTTCAGGTATACATATGAACGCATCGACGGCCGCGTGCGTGGGAATCTGCGACAAGCCGCCATCGACCGCTTCTGTAAACCGGACTCGGACCGCTTTGTTTTTCTCCTGTGCACCAGAGCAGGAGGACTGGGGATCAACCTGACCGCTGCTGACACCTGCATTATCTTTGACTCGGACTGGAACCCTCAAAACGACCTGCAGGTGGGTGAGGAGGGGTTTGTGGTGATTAGTCACTACTACAACCATCACACTTATTGTAAAGATTATAATCTCATCTGAATTTTTTTTTTAATGTTTTGTTGTCTGTTTTCTGTCCTTTGTGTGGCTCAGGCTCAGGCTCGCTGCCACCGGATTGGTCAGAGCAAAGCAGTGAAAGTCTACAGATTGATCACCAGGAATTCGTACGAGAGGGAAATGTTTGACAAAGCCAGTCTGAAGCTGGGACTGGATAAAGCCGTCCTCCAGGACATCAACCGGAAAGGAAGCCTCAATGGGGTGAGGGGTCAACTGCTGCATTTATTAGCATTACTGATTTGAATGGTATGGTCTTTAGCTGTCAGGAGGATTTTTATGTTGGTGGTGTTTCTGCAGGTGCAGCAGCTTTCTAAACTGGAGGTGGAAGATCTGCTGAAGAAAGGAGCATACGGTGCTCTGATGGATGAAGAAGACGAGGGCTCTAAGTTCTGCGAGGAAGACATTGATCAGATTCTTCAGAGAAGAACTCAGACCATCACCATCCAGTCTGAGGGGAAAGGGTCAACATTTGCTAAGGTAGTTCACAGGAATTGAACACTTTGTTAAATGGTGTTTGAAAAGCTTTAAAGAAGAATTGAACAATCAAAAAAAAAAAACAACCAACTTAATATTTCTTCTAAACACACCTTTTTTCTCCTCAGGCCAGTTTTATCTCATCTGGAAACAGAACTGACATTTCTTTGGACGACCCCAACTTCTGGCAGAAATGGGCCAAGATCGCTGAGGTGGAGATCGATTCTAAGTCTGAGAAGGTACAAAAAGAAAGTTTCTTTTAAAAAATTAAAAAAGTAAAAAAAAAAAAAAACTTCTACAGGTCAAAAAAGAAATCTCTACACTCCAGCAGATTGGTTGTCTTAATGAATGGAGCAGATTTCTGCCAAAAACTACTGCTTTCATACTGTGTGTGTGTGTGTGTTATACCTGCTGTGAACACGATTGTTGGATATGAAGACTGTTCTAAATCCCACCTCTCTTTTTCTTCCTCCTGTTTGTTCCTCTGACCTCAGGAGTCCCTGGTTATCGACACTCCTCGGGTGAGGAAACAGACTCGTCATTACAACTCCTTTGAGGATGATGAACTGATGGAGTTCTCGGAGTTAGACAGTGACTCAGAGGATCGACCATGTCGGAGTCGAAGGCTGGGTGAACGGAGCCGTCGGTACCTCAGGGCTGAGTGTTTCCGTGTGGAGAAAAATCTTCTTATTTTTGGGTAACAATGGAGATTATGTCACACCTCACTGTTTTAACCCTAAAACTTCCAAGTTGTCATCGTAGTCCTGCAGAGATGACTCTTAATGAGTGAAGGGTTATCGTAAATAACCCAACGAAAGCTGCTGCTGAAGTCAAAAAGGAAAGCATTAACCTCCTCTTTTTGTTCACAATTAATTTGCTGATTTTTTTGTTGCCTTTATATTTCAGCTGGGGTCGTTGGAAGGACATCCTCAACCACGGAAGGTTTAAATGGCACCTGGCTGAGAGAGACATGGAGGTGATCTGCAGGTGTGGAAAAGTTTTTTTTTTTTTTTTTTTTTTTTTAATTCCTGTTAATATTATCAAACAATAATAAAATAGTCATTTTTTATGGAGGAATGTTTTATTGTGTGATACAGAGCACTGCTGGTTTACTGCCTGAGACATTACAAAGGTGACGACAAGATCAAGAGCTTCATCTGGGATCTGATCACACCCACCAAGGAGGGGCAGGACCAGGCTCTGGTCAACCACTCTGGTCAGCTACTGCCATTCTATTCCATTTTAATATTCACACTACTTTTTTTTAGTCACACAACAATGACATTAATATTTGGAATAATCACTAGTTAGAAGTTAAATATCTTCCTGCTTCGTCTCAGGTTTATCCGCTCCAGTTCCTCGTGGTCGGAAGGGGAAGAAGATGAAGAACCAGTTGAACGCTCCTGATGTGAAGAGTGCAGACTGGCTGGTCCACTGTAACCCTGAGGTGGTTCTGCAGGATGAGAGCTACAAGAAGCATCTGAAGCAGCACTGCAACAAGTCAGTAGATGACCAGGGATTGACTAATGCCCAGTACAACTATCACTGGTTTACTGTTGCATAGTTGAGGTGGTATTTGTATTTTATAAGATATATTGTAAGTAGTTTTTGTGAAGATGATATTGTAGTTTTTCATGTGTATTGAGTCAAATATTAGGAGTTGAACTGATAGATTTTAGATTTGTCTTTTTGAAGGTATTAGAACTGCTTTACATTTCTGTTGACCATTTACAGAAATACATTATTCTTCCCTCACCTCTGTGCTCTTAGGGTGCTCCTGAGGGTGAGGATGTTGTATTACCTGAAGGTGGAAGTGCTGGGTGAGGCTGCAACTCAAGCCATGGAGGGGGCACCTGCCAGGTATTGAGCATGTTTTTATGTTTCTCATCTTCCTCTTTAAAAGATTGTTCAACAGAACTTGTCAGTAAACAGGTTTTTACACTGAAACTCATTTTTCTTTTCTGTCTTCACAGTAAACTGGAAGTGTCTCTACCAGATATTGACTACATAGAGATCCCAGCATCCTGGTGGGATGCAGATGCAGACAAGTCTCTTCTCATAGGGGTCCACAAACACGGTGAGCACAAGAGTCCACCATCCATCTGACAAACCCTGTCATCTCCTGTTTGTCTAGTTTTAAAATGCATTTATAACCATTGTTGTTTTGGTCAACATACAATGCTGTTCCAGGCTGAACATCAGGTTACTATGCAAAATAAAATGAACCAACGTCCTGAATATTTAGTTGTTAATTGTTATTAAAACCAAACATACAGTGCTGTAGAATATCGATACTTCAGTGTATCTATATTGTCTTACAGCCCTAGTCATACAGCTAGTATTTGGAGATGATGATGAATTATTTCTCTCCACCCTTGTCCAGAAAAAAACCCATAATTTTATTAAGGTGATATGTGCAATATAATCCTATTGTGTATATATTTATCTATATTGTAATTTTTAGTTTGCGGATATGATTATTTTTTTAGTGTGATGATGTGTTGATGTGTGTTTTCAGAGAGGGCACAAATCAAATATTCTTCTACAAAGTGCAATGACAATAAAGATCATTCTGATTCTGAAATATTTTTCAGGTTCTTCATGTTGAGTTTGAGAATGACAGGTTTTACTGATTTGAAGTATTTGATCATCAGCAGCCTGTGGCCTGGTGGTTAAGAGACAGGGCTTTAAATTTGGAGAGTCAAAGGTAGACGTCCCAAGGCTGTGTGTGTGTGTGTGTGTGTGTGTGTCTGTGTGTGTGTGAGACTGGGAACAGCCAAGAGCAACCCACTGCTCCTGTTGAATGGATGCTTAAATATATAAAGCAGAAATGATTTTCAATGTTCTATTCTGCCTCTTCTTCACCAAAACCCAAATCAGTATCTGCCTCACGACACCACGGCTGAACCAGCAGCTTGTTGTTTTTGTAATGATATATGATTTTTTCCCCTCAAACATGTTTGTGCTTGGACAGGATATGAGCGCTACAATGCCATGCGTGCTGATCCTGAGTTGTGTTTCCTGGAGAGGGTTGGGATGCCGGACGTCACTGCACTGTCTGTTGAACAGGAAGGACCAGAGGGAGCTGCAGACGTGGCTGAAAGGTAGGAGACCCTGTATGGTACATGGCATTTAATGAAATAAATAGAAACACATGACTCAACCAAAGCTCGATATTTTGCACAGAGAAAACAGTTTCAACAAATAAACAGTAGGTGTCAGTGTAGCTTCTAACTTACCGGTAACTAAATTTAAATTGCAGCTAAAAGAAAACTTTAATTTAACCAAATTTTTTGTTCATGCAATAGCTGGCCAAAAATATTAAAAGTGCTGTCAGTTGTTTAAAAATTGTAATTGGAATCACTTCAATGATTATCAAAAGTTGTAAATGTACTTCAATAGGAATATTTTTTCAATTTTTTATTGTCTTGTAAATGATGTACTCAGCAAATGTCTGATTATTGTTACATCAACAATCCAAAAGAAGACCAGTCCAGAATACTCTCCAGAACAACTGCAAAAGTATGGCAGATTAAAAATATTCTACCATGTTCTACATGAGTACAGGGGGAGAATTTCCCATAATAATTTGGGGTTTGTTTGAAACCTTGTGTCATGAGTTTGGACAGGAGCCCTGGTCATTTCCACTTTTGTTCTTTTAAATGGAAATAAATGTCCATTGTAACAGTGTTTGATGAAGAATATGATGTTTGAGCTGCACTCCCACCAAACACACAGTGACCTGTATTCAGGGCATTTGACCAGCTGTGACCTACAGAACCGACAGAAGAGGAAGAGATGTTTGCCCAGATCCACATCTTCATTCCTTCTGATTTTACACCGTTCACTTCCTTTCACGCCGTAGTAACATTTACAATCAGTGCCAATATTGGTGCAAAAAAAAAAACAAAATAGAATCCATTTTTATCGATGCCATAATTGTTTGTTTACTTTAACACGTCCTTCATCCACATTCGGGCTGTGAAGATCAACAAACAGCCGTGCAAATCCACACCTCAATACATTCAGTGACACAGTATATTTGTAGTACAGTAAGTCTGCCAACAGCTCAGGCTTCCTGTTGAACTGACAGCACAGGTGAATAGCACTTGCAAAAAGAATAAAAAATAATAAGTAAAAGAAAGAAAATCATTTTATTTGAGTTGTAAATACTAGGTAAGGGGTCATCAAATGTGTTTGAGGGTCAGAATTTTCTGGACAGACACCTTTGAGGTTGAGCAAATTAATAAAAAATTAAATTTTAGTCTACAATTATTATTTGATGTATCCAGTCGTGGGCTGGTTAGGATGTTTTGGCAGGCTGGATTTGGCCCACGTGCCGTAAGATGATGTTCACTCTGGTAGGCTATAATTTAAGTTGTTTTATGATTTGTGACTATACAAAGTAAAGTAATTCTAAACCTTTTTGGAAATGATATTTTATTATTAATTTGTTGACATGTTTTATTATAACTGTCTCCACTTTGACCTAGATTTTGGGCAAAATATCCCCTGTTTACTATACTAGGACATTTTTTTTCTTTTTTTACCAACACAGTTGTTCCTTAGTATTACTCAGTATCAATTTGTCTCAATTCTTTCAGTATTTTCCCACCCCTTTGTCTTTTGTCCTTCTAGTGGGCCCAAATCAGGGGAGGCACAAAAGGAGGAGTCTGGAAAAGTTGATGGACCGGAGGAGCGAGAGGAGAACAACAAGGTCACTATATCACTACATGTATTATACACTACAAAACAAACAATAAATAATATAAATACTACTTTAGTAAAGGACTTCAGTAAAGTTGTGAATTTTATGCTTAATTTTTTTTCATCTGAAAATGTTTACTTCTTTTACTATGCCAATGGTTTCACTCTTCTATTCATGAAAAAAAAATTATATGTATGTATGTATGTATATGTAT